GCCTTTGTAGCACTTGCCTCAACGTTGATTCGCCATGTTTCTCGGCTACCAGAACGTCGTCCAGGTAAACTTGTACTCCATGGAGATCTTTCGAAATGGACTCGATTCTCCGCTCGACGACGGCCGGTGCGGATGTGATGCCAAAAGGAAATCTATTGTAGCAAAACAACGCCTTGTGCGTGTTGATCACGGTCAACTGTCTCGCGTCTTCGTCAAGGCAAAGCTGGTGATACGCGTTTTTCAAATCCAATGTGCTGAAGACCTCACCACCACAAAGAAATGCAAATATGCCTTCGATAACAGGCAATGGGTACTGTTCGGTATGGCATGCTACATTTACCGTGAGCTTGAAACCCCCCCAGATTCTGATGTCACCACCCTTTTTAACCACCGGCACTATCGGGACAGCCCAAGCAGAACAGGGCACGGCAGATAACACGCCCTCGGCCACGAAGCGATCCAACTTATTGGATACCTTATCGCGTAGCGCGTAAGGTACAGGCCTTGCTCTCGCGAAACTGGGTTGCGCGTCTGGGTGTACGAGCAGACTCACCGGCGGACCTTCCACGGTTCCAAGTCCAGGCTCGAACAAATCCGCGAACTCCTCGAGTAGCTGTTAGAGGTTCCGATCGTCCGTTGGTGCTGCGGGTCCGGCGGCAGGAGTGGAAGTAGGCGTCCTGGCGCCTGAGAGACTGAGGACAGGAACTCTTCGAGCATTCATGTCAGTAATCAGGTCCCGGCCACACAAAGAAGGACCTGAACAGCCGAGCACGATAAGACTACCCTCTGTAGTCTTGTCCTGGTACTTCACGCGCATGTTCAGCTCACCTAACACTGGCAATGTTCCAAGAAAACACGACAAACGAACAGACGTTTTCTGATGTTTTGGCCACCAGTTTCGGTACTTGTGGTAGACGTCTTGGGGAATTGCGCTCACGGGAGACCCCGTGTCCACGAGCATCTTGAGTGGCACGCCGGCCCAAACAAACTTTCGTATTACTGGTTCTATTAAACCAACCAAATTGCCTGACCTAGCGTGACAACATTGGAGCGTAAACAAGCTTCCTTCCTCGCCTGATAAGCTGTCGCTGCACTCGACGGCGTTCATTCCACGTTCGTGGTTGGCTTTGAATCCACGGCCCCCTTTCCTGGGAGTAGTAAGGTCTCGGCAGCACCTGGCAATGTGCCCAACAGGACCACAGTGCCGACATGAGGCTCTCTTAAATTTGCACGATTGCGCGTCGTGCGTGGAGCTTCCGCAGTGTGAGCAGGCTAGCGTCGTACGCCTCAGGGAGCTTTGAGGAAGTGCCGATCGGCGATGTGGGCCATGTGTAACCGCGTTGATATCGGACTCCGGCGTCGGCTTCATGGCTGCGATGTTTACGGTAGCTGATTCCGCGGCGAGCACTATGTCCTCGGCCGCTTGTAGCGTTAAGTCTCTTTTCGTGAGCAGCAGCTTCCTCACAACATCGTTGGTGATTCCGCAGACGACGCGATCACGGAGAAGGCGTTCGCGAATGTCCCCGAAGTTGCAGGTCTCGGCTAGACGGCGAATCGCGACGAAATATTCCGGGACGGACTCGTCTGGCTTCTGATCTCTTTTAAAAAAATTGAAGCTCTCAGCGATTTCGTTCAGTTTCGGTGCGTAGTACGTCCCAAGCGCTCCACGACTTCGGTATATATAAGCGAATTGACCGCTATCAACGAACTGGACGCTTGCAAGACTTAAATTGTCTTCGAACTTAAGGCGGACACGAGCAACGCTCGTTTCGGCACCGCGTCGGTCACTGTATTCCCCTCGAAGAACGCTTTCAAGCGTGTCAAATAGGTGGTCCACTTATCTGATGCCTCGTTGAACTGTGGAACAGAGAAGGCCTTGGTGCGCTTGGTCGAGGTGGGTTGACCGGTTTCAGACATTGGATCCCATCCTCGTCGCCAATAAAGTAAATTCGGAAGTCAAAATGAAGGAGTCATGTCAGCCTAGCTGGCTGTCACAATACTGAACGTTTATTCGTCGTCGCCGTCGTTTGCCTTGTTTTTCGGCGCGGCGATCTTGATATAGATCGGCCGTTTAAAGTAAAATAAGAAACCAAAACAACTTCGGTCAGCCGCGTGAACTGCAGCGCGTGCAGCGTCATTCGCTCCCCAACAGTTTCCTTGTCATCTTTGCAGCAACGTCTTCCTTGGAAACTGTAATATGAAAAGGAATGTACATTGCACAAGGAAGTGTGCTTATATAGGGGGTATTTTCTGAACGCCAAATATGTGCCTACGGTTCATTACGCATGCTTAGAACGAGCATTGAATGTATGTTCCAAAAGCCTTGTCCGTCTGCACATGCATAGCAGTTAGACTGCAACAGATGTGTTTGGCAGTCTGTGTGCCGAAGTGCTATCAAAGGTAGGAAGCTCATGCTGGAGACTGAGCTTCTACTTATTTTTATGTTGCATCAGGGCATAAACGATAAATATGAAGGTGGCCTGGACCTTGAAATCAACCAGACAAATCGTTTTTTTTTAACCTGGAGTGCCACAACTTACTACAAAAGTGCCTCTAAATGGTGAATTCATTGTAAAGTATAAATTGAGGAACTTCGTTTTTTTTGTGTGTGATCTAATCTTGTTTTTTATTCGTAAAACCATCAAATAGCGTTCCAATTTTTGGGCTATGTGGCGCTAAAACTCACAAAATGGACAGGAAATAAAATTCACATATATATTATCCCCTTCATTTTTGGCAAAATAAGCGCAAAAAGAAAACGCAATGTTGCCTTCCTTTTTTTTTTTTTTTGAGAGGCAAAGCTTTATTTTTTTTTTATTAAAATAAGAATGCGTCTAGGCACTCTTGCAGAGAAAGCGTTCAAGTGCCGTCCGAAAAAAAAAAAGAAAAAAAAAGACTTTGCCTTATTTACACGCAGCTTCGCGGCGTCCAGCCTGCAGCCTAAGGCCCGCTGTTCGACTTTTTTTTTTTTCTTTGTTTTTTTTTTTTGAGCGATAATTGTAAAAAAAGAAATAACGCAAATATCGCTAAATGTTCCAAAAAAAAATTAAAGAAAGACTACTCGGGATTGAACCTGGGTCCGCTACGCATGAAGCGGACACGTTTCCCATAAGCTACGCTACAGCTTCAAAAAACTTATTGACAATTCGTTTTATACGAGACTTTCGGACGGCACTTCAAGGCGCGAGCAGAGCGCCGTCGGACGGCACTCTAGACACCGCGTTAAAATAAATGCAGCTTCTTTATAACACTTGTGTGTGTTAGGGTTAGCGATCGCACACATCACATGCTAACACTGGTAGCAACATTTACTTAACGCAAAAAAGACCATTCGAAACCCATAAGTCAGATTCTTTGACTAAACAAATAAGGAATGTCCATTTAACTCCCAAGAGTAGAATTCTCGCTTTGTAATAACTTTCTTGGTCGTCTTCGTCGTCGCTGTCGCCATCCCCGCATGTCCAACCGACGGAATATTTCGCACGCTCATCGAAATCACTTAGTCCGGTTGGTTTGAAAGCTTTGACGTAAGAGACCGGTACAATTGCCTGACAGTGGTCATCTTCGTTCCGTACTCACGCGTGCGTAATCATCCTAAACTGCAGCTCACGAAAACAAACAAGGAACGGGGTACAGGCACATACGAAGCAAGAAGAACGCGCGACACGAAAGAATGCGTAACCGAATTGGATTGGATCCGCCTTCGAGTTGAACCGTTAAACCGGACCACTGCGGCATTCTTGTTGCTTAAAGTTACGTTATTGAATGCATTTGTAGGCATCTTATTTTATTTATCAGTATAACTTTTATTAAACATGCGATGAATCCTTTTAAGAAACTAGCCTTATTATTAAGAAGTTTTACCGTGTAGTCTGTACCAACCACTGATCTCACCAATAAATATTGAGAGCACTTGGATTCAGTGTCATTGCAGTTAACATCACGCCAGGGCCACGAGTATGTGCCGTACCACGAGTGCACGAGTGCCATGAGTAGAAGGGGCCTACCACCCGCCAGCATCAACGTTGGCCTGTGTGTGTGTGTATGTGTGTACGAGCGCGTGGAGTTGTAGTGCATTCTTGTGAAGTTCATTTCAGACAGGCGCCTCCTTTCAAACGAACAACAGGCATCTCATGGGCAAAATGGGGGATACACCCCCGTTTTCGTCGTCGGGACGATCTAGCACGCGTCTAAAGAAACGAAGACGTTACAAGCAGCATTGATATCTCGGGTCCCAAGAAACAGTCCCGCGGTCGACGTGGTATGCACGGAAAAAAAAAAAAGTCTTCTGAAGTTGAAGAAGTATGTATATAAACAACTTGTAACAATGTTTGCAGTGTTTGCTGAATGTTTTCAGTCCCGGATGACTATATGTTACCGAGAAACATTGCAGCTACCAAAAGAAGCATTGCAGCCACCCCCAATAAAGAATATTATGCACAGAAAGGGACCGCAGAAATCGGCGACCTGACGCATTAACTAGTACCTTTCCTCACATATGTTGCTGGTCACATTTATACGTTCAAATTTCCATTCAACATTATATATGTATATATATATATACATAATTTTTTTTTTAAGAACAGGGCATTTAAAAACATTTTTCACTTTTTTTTTTGTACTTGGAAGTTTATAATATTCAAAATTGTGAGGCAGAAATAGGACACATTCGCAAACTTTGTACTTGATGCGTTAACTTCTAATTTTTGTGGACCGTTAAACTTACCTTAACTTTGTACTTTGCCGTAACAAGAGCAACAGATTTGTCATGTCAGCAGATGAACTTAAAAATAGTATATTGGCACATTCTGGAAGTGTGTCGACCACGCAGTATGTATGTTTTGCAATACAGCTAAGTGAGGCCCTAAATATAATGCATAAACAATTTAGAACCCGAGTGGTTTTGGAGGGAAGTGTGCTAACGAACCATATTTAATTAGTCAGGCTGATCAAAATATGATATAAATCCTACTCCTGCTTTGTTTCAGGCACCTTCTGAACCACAAGCTGGCTTGTCACAGGCCTTTCGTAATGAGCAAGCACAAAGTTTGAATTCTGGTTACGACAGCGACTCTGTGAGCGACCCTGTAAGTATATTCTTAAAAATATCTAGCTGCTGATTTGTGTAAATGATTTGCATCCACATTTGATACTTTTTAACTTTCAGGCGGAATAACTTTTAGTGCAAGTGAAGCCGAAATAACAACACCCCTTTTGTTTTGTTTTAGATGCCGTTAAGAATGCAGGCGCCCTCCTTGCCTTGCTCTGGTAGCGAGCGTGCAGACAGTTTGAACTCCAGTTACAGCAGTGACCCTGTGAGTTACCCTGTAGGTATATAGTTTCAGGCTGAATTGCAGTGAGTATGATTGAAGCTAAAATAACAACATCCCTTTTGCTTTGTTTTAGACACCCTTGAGATTGCAGGCACCCTCCTCGCCTGACTGTGATAGCGAGCATGCAGACAATTTGAACTTTAACCTCAGCAGTGACTGTGAGGACGATCTTGTAAGTATGCTTTTTTGAAAATTGTTGCATGGTATACATCAATGACTTGTAGTAATGTTTGAGATTCTTTTAGGTTTCAGGCTGAATTAGCATAAATATAATTGAAATTGCACGACTGTACCTCATATACTTTGTTTTTGGACATTTTTATTCTTTTGGAAAGAATAAAGAACAGCAAGCATACCTACCTCCAGTAGGGAGCATGCAAAAAGTTCAAAGTCTAACAAAACACGTGGCTCTAAAAATGGTCTTATATATTTTTAGACAGTTACCATTGTGCATCCCCAATTGTATTATTTACAAATTTTATTATTCTCCCATGATGAAAGCAGCATGCTTATTAAACCATTTTCTTGCTTTATGGTAGGTGTCCTCAGAACAGCAAGAGCTCACTGGTCACACCTCTAGTGCCGAGCATTCACAACATTCAAATACCAACTGCGACAGTGACTCTACAAATGATGTTGTAAGTATATTCTGGAAAATAGTTACATCATACATATTCTATAACTAGAAAATAAATACGAAAAATACTGCAGAGCCTTGAGGGGGGTGGTTCAGACGGGAGAAACCTGTCTGAACCACCCCCTTCAAAGCCCTGAGAAACTATCTATTACTGAAACATCATCTGCTCTCTTAAGGTTTACCCAATGCTTCCTTCTCTTCTTGTAGAACATTTTAATACCTGAGAAGCCTGTCTAATCGCATGTTTTTTCTCCACCCTGCAAGTTTTGTAGAGTACAATCAAAAACACAGAGCGAAGCACTCAGCAGAAAAGGAAAAGTTCTACCTTTCTGAATAGTCGTCGTGTACCCCATATGCCTAGTGGAGATCGCCTTATCCCCTGGAGTTTATATAAAATAGCCATGGTACCTCACCTCCTAATGGGTTCTAAAATGCTGCTCAGAAATTCATATAGGGCATTAGCTAATGTAGTTTAAAGTTTGCGCTTCTGTCTGAATCGGGGCCGACACAATGTTCGTCCTTTGCATCTGCCCCAGCAATAAGAACTAACCTGGTACCCGTGAAGAGTGTGGAAAGGAGGCAAAGGACATATCAGGTACCCTTCCCAAAATTATACACCCACCCAATGAACAGATGCTCCTCTGCATTAGCCGTTTCTCTAGGTGCACCGGCGCTGAGAGGCGAAGCTCCCCCCTATTTTTACCCCTTCCGAATGGTTTCCCTTCTACCTAACAAGCACCCATACCTCAGGTTTTCAAGATTGATCTCCAAATTTTTCGTCGGAACTTTCTCGATATTTTACACTTGTCAGTGTCATTTGACATTTTTATTGTTAGTAAAATGTTATATATGTTGGAAAAAGATGTTTGATAATTTAAGGCATCTGAGTGCCCTAGGAAATGTGAATAGTGTAGCACCGATATTTTATTGTCATTATCATAATGGTAACAAAGTAAGTCGCCTTTTCACTTATACAATACATTCTAACTTTCTCTATGTTTTAGGACTTGTGCACTGAAGATGCTGAACTCAACGGAAGTGAGCGCCCCACGATGCAAGCACCCGCGGACGACAGTGCAACATTCTTTGCCGATCTCTTTAAAGAGATGATCAAGGTACAGGTCGTAGTGTCTAAGGAAGAACTTTTGCTGATGGTTTTGAAGTATGCTGTGAGTAGCAACCTCACTTTTACAGGTCTTTCTAACCTCCTGAAAATGGTGAACTGTATGTTCAGCCAGCCTGCTTCGCCTGAATCACGTTATATGATTTCCCAGGTGCTGAAGGACACCAACAGCCATCTCACTTTTCATTTTTACTGCATTCAGTTTTTTTTTACATCGGACTACTGGAGGACTGCTCTTCATTTACATGTCCGCATTGCATCCCAGTATGCAAGGTGTCAAGCCTGTCCGAGGCACCTTTCTTTGTGACGCTTGACATTCGCCCGCAACTGCAGGATATTTTGAAGTCTGGAGATTTTTTAGATTTAACTCAGCCTCTTCCTTTAGATGACACTCTCACGGACATCACAGATGGGGAAATGTACCGATCATTTCTCAAGGCTGCCCAATATGGTCACAGAGTAAGCATGAGGCTAAATACCGATGGGGCTCCAGTATTCTCATCTTCATCCACTGCAATCTGGCGCATCCAGTTCACCATTAAAGAACTTCCTGCTCCAATTCGTATGGGCAAGCTTGTGCACGCAGCTTTGTGGTTCGGGAAATCGAAACCGAAGATGGATGTATTCCAGAATGTTTTCGTGGATCAGGTCAACAACGTGTCCGTAGAGGCGTTTAGTTTGTTCTATAAAGGTGCCACTGAAACTTTCAAAGCATTTTGTATTGCTGCGCTGTTGATTCAGTGGCCAGAGCCTCCATGCAAGGCATCCTCCAATTCAATGAATATTATGGATGCAATTAGTGTTTGCACCCTGGAGAGCGGCGTGGGGGTTCTGTCAAGTAACCTACCCTGAAAGACGACCCTCCAGAGGAAATAAAAATGATTGCGGACATGGAGGAGGCATTTGACGCTGGGACGGTAGTTAGAGGAGTTAGAACTCCATATCCCTTAATCAACCAGGAACATTTTCACATAGTCTTGGGGTTTGTCCCAGGCTATATGCATTGTGTTTTTTGGGGGGTGCTGCGCCAGTTTCTCGAGTACTGGCTTGAAGCCACAAGAGAGGAATTCTCATTGGGAACATAATTGCTGAACTTGATCATAAGCTCCCGGCAATGAGGCCGCCAAAGGATGTGAGGCGAATGCCACGATCTCTAAAGGAAAGAAAGTTTTGGAACGCAAAAGCGTCAGAGAACTGGATACTCTACTACAGTGTGCCGGTGTTGGATGGTCTTCTGCCAAATCAGTATCTCCGGCACTGGGCACTTTTGGTAGAATCCTTGCATGCCATGTTAGGAAAAAAGATCTCCGTCTTGGATATTGGTGCAGTTGATGAAATGATGCTTGAGTTTATGATTACCACCCAGCTTTTGTGTGAAAAACACAGCATGACGTACAACCTGCATCAACTTAGACATCTTTTAAGAGTGTCCGCCTCTGGGGACCCTTATGGTCCCATTCTGCCTTTCCTTTTGAATCGGGAAATGGCTTCCTCAAAGCTCATATCAAAGCTGCTAACGAGATTCCACAACATATCTGTCGAGCCATGGCACTTCAAGCCGCTGTGTGCAAATTGAGTAAGCAAACTTTCAATGCCAAGGTTTCACAGTATTGTAACTCACTGGATCTGAACATAAATCAGAAGACGATGCTAGTGTCAAGAGAAGGAGTGCGCTTTTTTAGCAAAGAAGCCCCATATGTAACGTTTCGTTGTCCTCTCCGAAATTCTCCGGCATTTTCTTCTCGAGCTGTCGAATTTCAACGCATGATCAAAGACAAGTCCATTCTGACAACTTATTCCTACAGCCTCAACAAGGAAACCAACAACTCTTTTGTCGAACTTGCAGGTGGAACATTTGGCAGGATTGAAAATATTGCTAATGACATTTCCACCTTTGTCATCCTGACACGCTTTAAGTGCTTGCCAGCCCCATACTTGCCAGCGTCTCAATAGAATCATTTTCATCGGGTGTCAGGAGATCATGCATATGCGCAAGTTGTCCCCATCTCTAAAATCTCAAACGTGTGCACATATGTGATGTTGCGGAGCAAGTTCATTGTAGCTGTTCCCAGCGCTTTGACATTCTAAATAGTGAAAAGGAAGCATGAAACATAAGCTGGTATTGGGAAGCAACGTAATTCTTTTTTTTTATTACCGTAGAATACCGCACATCCGCCCAGTTCACATTATGCGCCCATTCCCAAATTTGTAAGATCTGAGAAAATACGCACAGTACATTTATATGTAAAATTGATGACCGGACAAGCGCCCATCCCCCATTTTTTGCGATTATCTCCAAAGCTTGATTGGACGCTTGCCCAGTATTTTACGGTAGTCGTGTTTATCCTAAAATTTAAAGTCGTTCATGCCACATTTTGTGTTGAAAGTAGTCGTTTCCTGGAGATTTGTTTTATTTATCTATTTCTGACGTCGTATAGGCACATGGTAACACGCTTTTCCTGGTTAGAGCAAACTACTGAGTTAGTCATCAATCTTCTAGAGACTATCACCAGAAAGGATTGACCTTTGCATGCCATACAGTTGAGCCGGTTTGTGGGTGAAAACACTGTAAATGCCCTCTCTAACTAAAAAATTCAAATCCCATCTCTTCTCATCCTGTGCTACTTTGCATACCTTCTTGATCATGTCAAAGTTTCATACCATTAGTATAAATATTTTATTACACAACTAATTTAAAAAAATGCTCCAATTCAGTTGCCGCTCCTTGTTTCTGAATTGCTCATATTTGCATCTGAATGGGTGCACACCTTAATTGCCATAATAGCCAGTGTAGATTGGCATGGTTGTCATTCAATCACACACTATTACCAGTTGATCAGTGGCCGTTGTGCTTACATGCCAGATCTTGGTAGTCTGTGAAGTGAAAGTTTGTGCTGCATACCTTTAAATAAAAGTTCTTTTCTCACTCCTGCCTCTTTGGATTAGGAGGGGTGTTGTACACTGAATTTAGGCAATCCCTATTGCGTGATACTCGTTAAAGACGCCAGGTTACCTTTAGTGCTTCACTGCCTTAATTGCCAATCCACAGTGATTTTGTCGAGATCTAGTTGAAAGCATACAAACTTCCCGCTGCCCAAACTAGGGTGTCTACCAAATTACTTCTTTCGAATTCCTCGACATTTCCAGGTTTTTCTGACTATTTCAATTAGATTCCCCGACCATTACTTTTATCGAAGGAGTGCGTTCTTGACCCAAAAGTACTGCTTTTACATACTATTCGTCTTAGAAATCAATAATGGCTCTTCCTTCTTAACCAGATGTTTGCTTGTTGTTGTTTAGTGATGTTTTGGGCAATATTACTTAGCGCAGCCGTACAACACGTAACCATCGGGCTTCATTGCACATTGCTGTGGCACTTGCATGGGTCA